TATGTGAAGTGTCGTCAAGGTTCACTCAAGCCTTGGTGAAAGGTGCATGACACAGTACTAAAAACTTTCATCAGCAACCCGGAGGAACTCAAATTATTCTACAAAGAAGATACCTGCACACGTATGTTTGTTGCAGCTCTATTCACAATAGCAAAAACATGGAACCAACCATGTTGCCCATCGAAGCTGGACTGGATTAAAAAAAAATGTACATATATGCAATGGAATATTATGCAGCCATAAAGAAGGACAAATATATGGACTTTGCAGCAACCTGGATGGATTTGGAGTGGATCGTACTCAGTGATTTATTACAGAAACAAAGAACAGAGTTCCATATGTTCTCCCTCATGAGGACTTGAACAATTATAATGCTGTAAGAGATTGGCAGTCATGGGGAACTGTTGGTGGGCTGGGGGGTGGGATTGGCAGTTGAGGGAAACTGCTAGGGGAGGGAGGGGCATACCTCATTAACAGGGGTAACGGCATGATCTATGTTTGTATACCTAACCCTGAATTGTACCCCACATCTTTACAGTAAAATTTTTTTTTAAAAAAGGGATCCTAATAAAAATGGTAGCACAGCGTCATACACATTTAAATGGTTAAGAAATACATAAACACTATAACAATCCGACACTTTACCTTGAAAAGGACTGGAAGTTTGCTTGTGGAAGTGGGCGTTGGAAGGGTTGCAGCTGGTGTGTTATGAAGTGGTAGAGGAAGGTTGTCTGAAACCCAAAGGCAGGTTGTAACGTGAGATAGGGGCGAGTGTTGTTTATAACACACATGGTAAGTTGAGGTAGCTGGCAGATATTTGAGACGTGTGCTTGTTTTGTGTTCCTGTTTAGCTTGGATAAGCTTGGGGAAGTTCTCTGCATTCACCTGGTGTTTCTCACAGACAGAAGCACACATAAACAAATTTGAATTTTATATTATATTCAAATTGTTCTCTAACATATTCACTGTGCTGAGGTAATTTTTTTGGCATTGTATTTATAAAATAAACGTTACAGGAGAACTGTGTATTAAAATAGACAATTTGGTTCCATTTTTTAGAAACTGTACCTGAGGCATGACTGAAAGGAAGTCGCTTTGGGAACTAGGGTCCAAACTCAAGACTCAAGTCGGAGTTCTGGTTACTTGGAGAAGGCCTTCCACTACGGTCCCAGTTTACTCCCGAGGTTAAGGCCTAATCATGAATAGTTCTCCCCGTCACGATCAAAAGCTTCTCAGTTTGGACAATAACTTATAGTCGCCTGGGCCATATGTAGAGTCCCAGTTCTGCTGTACTTGGGTCTGCAAAACAAAAGCCTGCCAAGTCCAGAGAAAGAGATTCTTGAGTCACCAGGAACGTGTCTTCCAGATTTCGGGAGGCCATGCCACAGGTAACTGTGTCCCAAATATACACCCCTTTCTGGCTCTCACTGTCTAGCCTTAGAGTATGCCCCTGAAATTTTATGAGTCTGTTTCTTATTTTTTAAAAATTAGCCAGTTGTGGTGGCATGTGCCTATACTCCCAGCAACTCAGGAGGCTGAGGCAGGAGGATCGCCTGAGCCCTGGAGGTTGAGGCTATGGTGAGCCGTGCACTCCAGCCTGGACAAAGAGTAAGACCCTGACCAAAAAAAAAAAAAAAAAGTTATCAAATAATTTCAGTTAAAAGCAATCATGAGTTTTTCCCTCAGATCTTTGCTCTTGATAACAAATGAGCAATCATGCTTCAGAAATAAAAGAGCAAATTGATTTTTTAAAATTCCAATTAGAAATTTTCATAGTTTTTTAAAAAGATCAAAATAGTTTCTTTTAGAACTTATGTGCCAAGGTTTTGTTGGCTAGTTGCTGAATTTCTATTTTTCCTTGGGTCATAACAGATTTGAAAATCTGTTTGGAAAAGTTTGATTTCACTGAGATCAAATGGTTTTACAAAGATTTTCACTATTATTTCACGTTGCCTAAAAGAAATAAACTTGCAAAAATCAAATCTATCAATTAATTCCTTTTCAAGGTAAAAGAGGTTTTCAAGGAAAAAGCGACTAAAAGTGGTGAGAAATTAAAAGATAGTCCATAAAACTTTATACTCCTGGGTGACTATTTGAAAATTGCATTTGATTGAGCTTCTTTACTAATTAAAAATTAGAGATGCAAAGTGTATTTTGAAATACTTCCAGCCTTGGAATAGGTAGGGTAAATAAATTACATGTTATAATCAAGTAAAAACTATACTTACAGGTAAACAGACAAAACTAGCTGCTGTGGTCAGTGCTAAGAACGGGCTGAACCTGAACCCAGGGAGCCCAGCTGTCGACCCTAGGCCCAGTTAGCAATCGTCCATTGCAGTTTAGACATCAGCCATAATGGAGAATTGGATCCAGAGAGTCAGAATGGAGGGTGCTGGGGAATAGCAAAACTTACTTTTTTCTTTTAATTTTTTTTTTTGAGTCTGGACTCTCACTCTGTTGCCCAGGCTGGAGCGCACGCTCATGGCCACCACAACCTTGACCTGCTGGGCTCAGGCGATCCTTCCGCCTCAGCCTTCCAAGTAGCTGGAACTACAGGCGTGTGCCACCACATCCGGCTAATATTTTTACTTATTGTAGAGACGAGGTCTCATCAAGTTGCCCAGGCTGGTCTCGAACCCTTGGGCTCAGGCCATCCTCTCGCCTCAGCCTCCCAAAGTGCTGGGATCACAGGTGTGAGCCACTGTGTCTGGCCAACTCTACTTTTTTCTAACCTGTGCACTGGGTGGGGGGTGGTGTGCTTTCATGAAGCTCTGTGACCAGGAACGTCTTGAAAGAAACAAGGAAATCAAATCTCTAAATGCAGACACAACAGGCAAACTGATGTCCAACCCTGAATAGATCTGCCATGGTGGCCGGTCAAAAAACAAGGGTGTCTTGCATGTGGGCCAAATGGTCACTGCTTCTGATGTCGATGATAGGTGGCAGCTCACGGGTTAAGCATCGGATGATTTCACTTAAAAAGTCCTACCAGCAGGCACCACAGCAGTGGGTTGGAGGTTGGAGAGTTAGGAATCAGAAGAGAGTTAAGGACTGGTCTTACCACTTACTAGCAGTTACATGACCCAGGGTTCATCATTTAACACCTGAGACTGCTATCAATTCTCTAACTAGACAGGTTAACATTCCCTTACCTAATGGTTATCGAAAGAATCAAAAGAAAACGTGAATGTTCTGTGCACTGTTAAGATATTTTAATAACTAAATGGGTAAAACAGCCATTTGGAAATTCCTCATATTATGTTAAAAAAAGCTAGACAAGGTAAAGAGAAGCCTTAAAATGCAGTCCTTCCAAAAACTAAAAGCATTCAACCTTTTTAAGCATTCAACCTTTTTAATAGTCAGCAACAAATCCCTTGTAGATTATGTTGTACCATTTTTCTTAAAAATAAATGACTGAATGAACTATCAAGCTTCCACTACATTGCATAGCAGACTGTCAGGCTCACCACACAGCCACATACTGCACACCTGCCAGTCTTGGTTGCAGTTAGGTTGTAAATGGAAGGCACGTCTCTTTCAGTTCTGGTCCTTAAAAATATCCTGCACCATCTGTCAATCTGCTCTTTCTCTGGTTTGGCAGCGTTGGGGACCACATGTTCCAGATGGCGTAGCTACAGAGAACTGCCTGGCCCACACTAGGCATTCCATGAGCAAGAGTTAAATGTTTGTATTAAGACACTGATTTAGCCAGGCTCGGTGGCTCAGCCTGTAATCCTGCGCCTTTGGGAGGCTGAGGTGAGTGGACTGCCTGAGCCCGCGGGTTCGAGACCCGCCTGGGCTGCGAGACCTCATCTCTACAATATATCCAAAAAAAAAAAAATCAGCCGGGCGTGGTAGCGCATGCCTGTAATTCCGGCTACTCGGAAGGCTGAGGTGGAAGGATCGCCGGAGCCCAGCAGGTCGAGGCTGCGGTGGCCGGGAGCGGCCACTGCACTCCTGTCTGGGTGACAGAGTGAGACTCCAACTCAAAAAAAAAAAAAAAAGACACACTGATTTAGTGCTTGTTTCTTGTAGCATGGCCTCTTCTATCCTGAGACTCTGTGCAAGGAATCAAGGGAAAGTGTTGGAAATACACATGCACAAAGAAACATAAGACAAGGTTTGTATCCTTCTGAAAGTTTTAGGATTCTAATCCCAAACGTATAGTTCATTCATTCCAATAAAGAAACGTGCTATTTAAGTTTCATCAGTATTTTGTATTTCTCATCATTAGATATTATGTGCTTACTATTACTCTGTTACTATATCCTGTGTTAAAAAATTATACTAGGTACAAATATTTCTGAGTCTTAAGTATATGAATATTAAGCTGGATCTTTACCAGAATCTTTATGTCTCACTGGCATTACAGTACTTCCTGAGTCTCCAACATCTATCATTTGTAAATAAATGTTTTAAAAGAAAACCCATCATTTGAAAGCTTTTTAGATAATCAATACCCACTCCACTCTTATATCTAGCTCAGAAAAAAACAAAACAAAAAAAACCACTTCGTATTGAGAAAATGACAGACTAACCCGTTCTGTTATCCTTATCTGCATGGCCCAAATCTTTACAAATGCTTCTGTCTAATAATACACGTTCATGTAGGGAGAAAATCCTATACTGCTTTGCAGGTCAACATTTTGATTGTACAAAACAGAACAAAAACAAAACCCCGTAAGACAACAATCCATCACATGGTACATCTGCAGGAAATAATGCCAAGACTTGTGACTAGAACCCTAGCAGTGTTTCTGCTGTGAAATGGGTGTGGCCTGGAGTGGAACCATCCATCTGTGTTTTAAGAACAGACTGAATGGTCAACAGCATCTCCCACTGTTTATTACGACTTAGGTTTAAAGGGCTGGTCTTCCACACACCTCGGATTTTCAAAAGCAGGAAACATGCTTGTCTTCCCAGCCCCAGGGATTGGAAAGTGAGTGGTAAGCCATACAGCAAGTACTTCATAAATGCTTATTGAAGGACTGAAAAAAGGACAGACTTAGAGAAAAGTATATTTACTAGACGTCCATGATCCATACTTTAAATCCAATCTAGAAATAAGAACATGATTTACATGAGGCAATATATTTTGAAGATTTTTACAACAGGGCAGTCACAGAAGGGTCTTGCTAACTCACATGTGTTCCAGGCATACACACGGCACAGCTCTCCTGCTGTCCCAAGGGATTTTCAAATGCTCCATCAGGGGAGGTCAAGACTAGTTCCAAGGTGCGTTCATCTTGCACACGAAATGGGTTTCCCCATAAAAACCGTGTTATCACAAGCACAAGCCCATGGACAAATCTGGTTATTAGCTAAGGCAGGAAATATAGCACTCTTTCCAAATAACAATATTGCAATTATACCATGAGGTAAACACTTTGCTGTGGGCTGTCCTGTGAATCTAATCATTTAATGCATTGCTTCTCTATGAAAAGTTCTCTACAACTTAAGTTAAATTTTAGTCATGATTTTCTGGTGTCACTGATTCTTCTATTAAGTTTCTCATCATACATTGCAGATATAAACATTTAAGAGTAGTAAATAAAATTTTTATCTCAAATTTTCTTTGCCACTTTTATGCTTTGAAAATTCAAAATGGATAAATGCTAGGTAACAACAAACTTGAAGTACAAAATATTTCAGATTTACATATTGACAAATAAGAAAACGCTTGCTTAAGATTATCAGGATGACTTTCAAACTGAAGTGCACCATAGTACCATCACCTCTCAAGACTAAATGTGACTGTAACACAGCTGTATTATTAGTATATTGCAAACATCTCAAAAGGGAAGAGAAACAAAATCTTAGGAGATTTATGTGTGGAGTCAGGGGTTTTCCAGCACAGACACCACTCTTAGATTACAGGAAGACAGGGTGACTGGGGATCAATTTGGAGTTGGAATGTGCAGTGAAACAAAAGTGACGCTGTTAGTAAAACGTACAACATTTCTAGATCTACACAGACGTCAAAAGTACAATGAACCTGGTTTTCACTTTGCTGCTTCCTTCACACCTTAAAGTCTCAAGGAATTTTTCTTTCCAGTATGAGAAATGGAAACACACAACATAAAAGATAGATGCTGCTTCCTAGAAATCCATTGTCATGGAATATAACATTTCCTAAAGAGATTTACTTTAAAAATCAGAATGCTTATTTCTAGCAAAGTATTCATGGAGAACCCCAGAGGAAAATATTCTTGACAAATGTATCATTGACTAAACACTTACAATTTCTGATTGCCCTTCTGTGACATTATTACTCAATAGCCAAAGAATAATTATATCCCACCTAGGTTTCTTCCTTTGAATATGGTAGTATCACGGATATTTTGTACCATCTGTAATATTTTAAACAGTTAAAGAAGTGACCATGCATCAAGCTGAAAGTAGTGAGTGACTAATGTTCAAGAGCTAGCTCTTCCAGACTATAAATATGGTTACTGTGTTATATTTATTAACATCTCATAAGATACTCTTAAATGATATCCTATCAGCCCCCAAAACGGCTGCCACTACACAAGTCCAAAGAGTTGCATACAGTGAATGGATGATACAAATAGGTTTTTCTTTTTTTTTTGGTAATATGGCAATTTTAAACGAAATAGCCACAACAGGGTGAGTGTCTGTAAATGCCTGAATGGCTAGAGAACGGGAAGGGTAGACGGGCCTAAGCTACAGTGCCTAGCAAGGACTAGCTCTGTGCAGGCGACTGTGTAGAGGCAAGCAGGGTTAGGCACTTCAAGCTTTTTGATGAAAATCCTGGAAAGAGCCTGGGCCTATCATACTATCGGTAATAACATACTTTTCATGAAGAAACATGCAATCAAAAACATTAGAGACAGAAAGAGCCTAAGATTGTTCTGAAAATGAAATGACACAAGTTGGTCCAGAGTATCGTAATATCTGAACTATAAAATTTGATGCTTTTACATTGTCATATTTCTTTATCATTAGTGGTAAATAGCTCATTAAAAAATCATCTAGAATTTCCTGATAATGATACAAAGCCCTAGCTACAGATATTACTGTACTGGTATCCATCTGGTAAGGAAAAATATCACCATCTAGATATCTCTTCCATCATCCAAACAGCCTAAACCAATATTCTGAAACTTTTTATTCAAAAGTACTTCTGTTGTCTTGTCCCTATTACTCTATCAATAGTCCTTTTAAAGATTATAATATCCAACATATATAAAATAAAAATCTAATGCTATAAAAATCTCAAAAATGTAATGTTAATAATGTTGATTATCTAAAGAACTTGGCTTCGTGGAATAGTTTTCAATATTTATTGCCCGGATGGATTCTAAAACTTCTTCAATGTAATCTGGCAATGGTTCTAATACATCTGTAAACAGAATACCCCTAAAAAAAATTATATTGACATGAAATACTATAGTTATGGTTGTGTAAAACTTTTCAATCTTAAAGCCTCTTAACATAATCATGTATTATATCTATGTACAAAACATACATAAATTTCACTTTATTTAAAACATATGAAAGAGGTAATTTCAAATCACACTAAACATAATAAATATAGAACTTGCTTTGTTAAAAATCTACAGTATACATTCAAGTAAAGGCTAAGCTTCCAATGCCAACTATATTCGAGACAAATTAAACATTTACAATAATCAGTTTCCTAAAAGTGCTATTTTTAGTGACTATCAGAGGAAACTCATTCTAGTGCTTTAATCCATCCAAACATCTATACATTCCTTTATTCACAGAACCAGATGCTTCTGTTACTAAAAATACATATCCAAAGCTTTTATATCCTTTTAAATAGATTTAAGATTTCAGCTCTTTGGGGGAAGACAGGGAAGTTCAAACAAACAACTCAGACCATCTTAAATTATTATAGAGATCATTGACTTTATGACACACCCTGTTTCAACTTAGATGTGAAAACTGATGATGTGTTAATGAAAACATTCCAGTCCACACATCTACGGTAAGTCATCTTTCTCGACGTGAAAGTTTGTGTAGGTCAAGGAGCATCCACCATAGCAACCTTCCTGCGAGCCAGGTCTTGACACCACGCTCCACTTCTGATTGGTACATTCTCTTCCAACCTGATTTGGCTTGGTTTCTTCAGGAGATATGTTCAGTACATTGACTGAACTGTTGGGAAAAGAAAGGCAGATCTTAGTAACCATCCCCTCTTCCTTTTATACCCAGCTATGCCTGAATGTCTACAGTCTCACTGCCTCTCACGTCTCGTGCTAAGTAAACTGTTACGACACAGTGATCAAGAATTACAGAGAAGTGTTTCCAAGTGGTCTGATATAGCACCTTCACCTTATCTATGGCCTGTGTATCGATCTTTGTACATGATGGATTCCTTTAGTCTACTGTGAAGCATGTCGCCCAACTAAACTTCAGGCAGCGCACATGTGGGTTCTGAAAGCCAGCGTTCCACCATGTCCAGCCTCTTTCCGGTTTCTTTCTGGATTCGCACACTTTCATCTGCCCACCCATCTAGGCAGATATTTAATGAGTTCCTACAAAAGTGGTCAAGAGACCTGACTCTGCAGCCAGATGGTTTTCAGCCATCCTCAAAGCAAAGAGATCTGCTTAAAAGAAAACTGTAAGACCTGTGGAGCTAAGTCAGTGAATAATAATTTTTTAAAATCAACCAAATATTTTAGGTAATTTCACACACTTTTCTAAATGTGCATTTCTTGTGACTCTTGATTACTAATCTGACCTCATAATGTGGCAATCTTGAAAAATATTAAGTTGCTGTTGATCCTAAAAATCTAAGCCAAAAACCTAACTAAAAATTTCACTTATCTTTACCAATACTTTTTAAGAAAATGAACTTGCGTATAATAAATCAATCTTCAGAATCGCTGTACCTCAGAGCTGGGTCAGATGAGATCAATGATCAAAACCAGGTTCTGTAAGGAACTTAGCATACAGGTTGGTTTCCTTGCAGGGAATCCAAGGTACAACCTGTGTGTGAAATTCCATTCCACAGTGAAGGAGCAGTAAGGATGCTGCAGAAATTAGCTACAAATAGGAGTTACTTTGTTGTAACTTTAATTATAAACCCAGGTCCAAGGTGCTTCAGGAGCAAGAGATCCAGATTTAAAATACCAAATAATTTAAAATACCAAGAACCACGTCAAGCTGCACGGCTTCTCTGTTAGTTACACAACTCATTTGTCTCTGAGAACAAAACAAAGAGTAGCTCAACACAGTTCCTTCAGCTCCAAGGTTCTGTTTCTATGCCACTGATGTCGTTTAGTGGAGCCCTCAGAATACAAGAGACAGAAAACTATTTTTATAATACATTTGTCTACATATATTTTTATTTTTACTGCATTTACTGTCACTAAATGTTTACAATAGGCCAAGTACTGTTGTGTTTATAGCTATTGACACTTAACCTCACAACACTCTATGAAGTAGGTTCTAAGTGCTGAACTTTACTTAACACAACACACTGCCTTTAAGAAATATGTCAAATATTTCATAATGAAGACAATTGCATGTAAAAAAGTAAAAACATAAACTACATAAAAACAATTGAGACAGCTACTATGTTATAGCTATCTTTGACAGTATTTATTTGTAAATGGTGGTTAGAATTTGTGTCTCTATATAGATAGTGCTGATTAAATTTGGATGTTTTAGTGACATTCTACATAAAAAAATTCTAAGCTTACACATTATAGTTTGATTATAAATTAAATAAACTTCCACTTCCCATATTCAACCCATTGGTCAATCTATTGGCTCTAACTTCAAAATACACCCCAAATCCTAGCATTTCTATCTTCACAGTATGACCCTTGTCCAAATTACCATAATCTCTCAACTCCAGTATGCCACCTAGCTGGATCTCCTGGTTTATAAAAATGACTCCTACAATCTGTTTTCCACATAATAAAACAGAATGTTCTTTTTAAAACTTAGAATTTTTTTCACTTTCTTGCTTATAATTCTCTAATGCTTTTCCATGGCCCTTAGAATGATATTTGACGAACAAATGTAGACTAAAATACTCTACAAATGAAATCCCAAACTTGGGCTGGGTGTGGCTGGGAAGGAGGCCAGCAGAGTGGGGTTATTTATGGACAACATCGACCCTGAGTTAATAACTGCTGAGCCTGAGTGATGGGGACACACGGGCTCATGATCTCATTCTCTCTCCATCTGTACCTACCCAGACTTTCACCTCTCTCCATCCTGATCATGTCTAACGACACTCACCACCGCAAACAAACCAGATGTGTCCCGCCTCAGAGTCCCTGCACCTGCCTGGAGTGCTCTGACTTATCTCTATGTTGCCCCCCAGTGTTTACTTGGAGTCCTAATCCCCCCAACCTTTCAAAATCAACTATAATGATCGTATCTTGTCCTCCTTTTAAAATCCATCTATTTATCACTTCTTGGTCCAGGGACCAGCTGGCTTCTTCAACACTTAGTTTCATACCAGTCTTGCTTCAGCTCTGACTCTGCTTTCCAAGGCCACTGTCTTCTGCTTTAAATAACTGTAATGAGATTACCACCACACTTTCCAACCTACCCCTCTGATCTTTTCTATCCCTCTCTATCTCAGTAGGAATGCTCTACCTGCTTCCTTTGCTTAGTTCAAAATTAATCCTGGAATAGGCTCTGATATTATCTTAGAAATGATTTAATAACTTGAGATGGAGGAAAATACCAAAATATAGCAATTAGGAGCAATATATGGGTTTCCTGGGTGTGGGGAACCACATTTTTTTTTTTTTTACACTGTCATCCTTGGGTACAGATGATCTTTATCACTCGAGATGAAGAGGCTTTTCTCAGTTTTTTGTCCTTCAATACCAATAAAATAGGCAGACCAGAAGGAACTTTAACATATGTACTCTATAAAACTGTCAAAACAATATCCTTTACTTAGTATATTTAAAATATTAAATAACTCCTGTAATTAAGACTATATTTTAAGCTGTATTTATTTATTTATTTTTTAAATTCTGGATCTCACTCTGTTCCTTAGGCCAGAGTACAGTGGCACAGTCATGGCTTCCTGCAGCCTTGATCTCCTGGGCTCAGGCAATCCTTCCACCTTAGCCCCTGAGTAGCTGGGATTACAGGCTTGTGGCACCACGCTAATTTTTTTATTTTTTTATTTTTTTGGTAGAGCTGAGGTATTGCTATGCTGCCCAGACTGGAAAACTATATTTTAAATGTGAAATTAAAAAACATACACAGTATTATATGATTTAGCACCCAGAAGATAGGAGCCAGAGCCACCTTGTTCACTATTGTGTTCCCAGCACCTAGCACACTGCCTACATATTCTAGACACCCAATAAATATGTGGAGAATGAATACATTGATCTACCAAATTCCTCTCCAAAGCCTCTACTGTTGCTAATATGACAGGCATGCCCACTTTTCCTTCACAGTGCAATCTGAGCAATTTTTAGAAATATGTGAAAAGATCATCGACAAACACCTGTGTTCAGATACACAGGAACGTGGCTGGCAAAAGTCTGAAGTCGAAGGTGAAGCCGGAAGAGATTTAGTAAGTTTAGATGTGCAAACTGGAGACCCACTGGACACACCGTGAGGCTTCTTCTGTCGTTGCCTCGAGTGTGCTATAAGATTGTCCCGATCAGAACCTGTTCAAAAAAAGAAAAGGAAAAAGACAGTACAGAAGGTGAGACCTTGAATTCAGTGCAGGCAGTGAACTGGGATGATGCATTTGCAGTTCTGAGTGGAGTAGGGGATAGAACAAATTAATCTGGATGGTGTTCATCTTATGCTTTTTGTTGCATACTCATAAACATTGAAAAGGATCTAGTTCTAGAAATATTTATAGATTGTGAACTGTTGAAAACTTGGCACCATTATTGCCCTCACAACACAAGTTCCTTTTGGTATGCATATTCTCCCATCCCCACTTTGACTACAATAAATAAAACATTCAAGTTGATTTTTGTTACAATTAGAGAGTTCTTATTGGTGACCTCCAAATACTAACTCATTTGCAGTATTTTATTTATATGCATGTTCAGATTAAAGAGTTTATGAAGTACTCACTTCCTGAGAAGGCACTGAAAAGTTTCACATTTTCTGAGTTCTGGTGGTCAAAGGTAGTCATATTTAAAAACTGTTGCTTTAACCAACTGGCTCTTTCTTCCTCAAATGCCTTTCTCTACCATAACAAACAAATCAAAGAAATAATGAACAATATTTCAATATTCATACAGTTGCCGTGTCACATCATTTTTCTAGCTGTCTGTGTTGGCTCTCTGGCTAGCTATATAAACTTAGAATTAACCTAAAAAACTTAAAACAATTTTGACTTAGGAAAACTATATTTCACAAATAAAAATTCATCCGCTTCACCTAATAAACCATACTTTCATATCAATTTTGAATAAATTCAAACGGACAATGCAAAAAAAAGGAAGAGAATATTAGCAATACTTTTGAACATACAGAACATCATAACTATAAAATGACAAGCCATAGAAAAATACTCTACATTGTAAATTAATCACTTTAAAAAAAGAGCGCAGGCCGCCTCAAGCATTCCTCTCAGCCTCTAGCACCTACCGGTCAGTCCTAAGAACCACCACCGTGAAGCCAGAAGAGGTCAGATGCAGATGTCGACCCCACCTCAGAACAGTAGATGAACCCAAACCAAATTCTCCCTCATGCCTCAGGTCTCTCCTCTGGTCTTCCCTTCCCTCGCTGCCCCCTACTATCCCCAGTGACCACGGCAGAGAGACTCTCTTGCAGAGAAAGGCACCAGGCGACTGGGAGTGACATGTAAAGTAGCACGAGTATCTCCTGGACACTCTTGGGGCTCAGAAACACAGGTGATCCCAGAAGACAGGAGACAATGCCAGCACACATTGTTTTTGTTTCTTGAGGAAGATATTTACTGAGAAAATAGACTTTCACAACTGTGGAGGAAATCCATGCCAGCTACTTAAAATAACCAACATATTGTCTTTCATAAATATTATTACAGAATCATGTATCACCAGACATTTGAGTATAATAGAAAAAAGTTCAAGATAAATAGATAACTGGCCATGGACAACAGCTAATTCAAGAGATGGAAGAAACCTTTCAAAAAAATTGCAAACACATGTTATCAGGCAGATGAATGAACATCTGTAAACTAGCATACTGCATTATAAAGAAAAACAAAAATTAGGGACATTAGAAAATGTAAAAGGTAAATTCTGAAAAACTCAGTGGGTGAAGTGAATTATGAAACAAACCCTGAAGACCAGTTTGGTGATCCACAAGATAAAGATAAGAGAATATCCCAGATATATCCAGAAGGTCAAACATTTGTCTAACAGAAGTTCCAGAACACAGAGAAGTCAAAGGACAAAAAAAAAAGAAGAAAGTTCCCCTAAACTGAAGAAACAGAGGATCTTCAGGGCTGAAAGGAAATATCTGGACATATCCTTGTAAAATTTCAGAACTTTAAGAATAGAAAATGCCAACGCTTCCAGAGAAGGAGAAAAAAGCAAAACATAAGGACTTATAAAGTAATATTAGAATCAATTTTGTCATTAGCAAAAACAAACACTAGAAGAAATGAAATAATTCTGTCAAAGTTTTGGGGAAAAAAGTTGGAACCTAAATTCTATATTCAACCAAACCAATCAAGTATGAATATACCTTTTAATATTCCAGAATTCAGACCATTAATCACTCATGCACTATTTTTATTTTTTTATTTCTTAGAGACAGGGTCTCATTCTGCTGCCCAGGCTAGAGTACATAGTGCAATTATAGTTCAACACAGCCTCGAACTCCTGAGTTCAAGTGATCCTCCCACCTCAGACTCATGTGTAGCTGGAACTACAGCCATGAGCCACGAGCCACCATGCCCGGTTAGTTTATTTTTTATAGAGATGTGGTCTCGCTATGTTGCCCATGCTGGTCTCAAACTTCTGGCCTCAAGCGATGCTCCAACCTTGGCCTTGGGAAGATAGGAACAAGTTACCATGCCTGACCACTCATGATTTATGAAAAAATTTCTCAGGAAGGTAAGAGGATAACATGAGCTAAAACAAACATGGCAGCTGAGTTTGATGCAGGAAATCAGAGGACGCTACAGAGAAAGTCCAAGAATTCAGTAGATAGCGGACACATCTCTTTGGGGCAGCAAAGTCTTAATAATACAGAATATTTTCTCTTCTATGCATCCAAACACATTATTTGGTTACAGAATGAATAATATTTACACAATCATAATGCTGTAACGTGCTTTCCTAGTCTTCATTTTTAAGTTTCAACTTTAGGCAAAGCACTTACACCTGGATTATATTACATGACAATATAAATGTGATAACACTAAGCAATGAAAAACAGTATCACAAACAAAAACTGCAAAGTATAGGATGAGAGAGATGGAACACGACTAATTCAAGAAAGTCCTCATCCCTCACTGCAGGGATGGACTGATACTGTCTGAAGCTGAACGAACATGAAATGGAAGCATTAAATATATTATTTATTTCAAGTTTAAAAACACAACCAGAAGAACAAAAGAAACAATATTATAAAGAAATCAGATGGGACTGAAGAAGATAGTGGGTAGGAGGTACTATAACGACACTAAATTCCTTTCATAGCAGGGAATCAATAAACTGAAACTAAGGAAATACAGCTGAAATATATTAAAGTTAAAATAGTACTTCCCAGAAGAATTCCTAATAGAAACTTTTAACAGCGGCTACCTACAAGGACTGAAACGGGGACAAAAAAGGAGGCCATTTTCTCACTTCGTAGCTGTTTGTATGGGTTGAATTTAAAACAAGAAAAAGCTGTGTTCAGATATTACTTGTGTAATTTTTGAAAGGAAGTATGTTGGCAATATATTGCTAAGCAAAAACAGCAAGCTGTGGAAGTACATGCATAAAAATCCAAACTGTTAACTGTCAGTGTCCACATCCCTGGATGAGGGACTGGAGACAGGAGAACTTTATTTTTTACTGTACTTCCTTTAAACAAACAAACAACAAAAAACAGCAAACATGCTCTTGTGGCTGCACTGTCTTCTGACACCACGCCTACTGACAGCACAAATACAGATGCCCAAAAGATATCTCATATGTGATGCTAAATATATAAGAGTAGAAAGTCAATCTGAAAGGAATACTAAATGATTATGGTTATTTTAAAAATTTAACTCCCAAATCTGGTAAGGGAAAGCAATATATGCTCAGCCTTCCTTTCATTTCAAATTATTCATGACATCATTGGTAAATTACTTTAAAAATAATTAAACAGCAAGAAACAATTAAAAAGCAGAACCTAGAAGCATTCTCCTGAGGCCTACAACTTCTCCAGAATTCCGAAAGCACTGCAACTGCTTAAAATACCTCCAATCCTAGGCGAATAGCAGCCTCTGTAAAGCTTCGTCTTTCTCTCTCAAAATTCTTTTTTTGCTCTTTAAAAAGGGACCACTCTTCTTTGAGGCGTTCCTTTTCTTCCAACAAATAACAGTCTCGTAATAGTGAAGTGGTATCATCATCACATGCAGTAGCAAGCTGCTGCTATTGAATTTTAAAACATAGTAAGTTCCAGAGGTCCCTGTAACACTCCATCAAGTTGAAATACAGGCAAGTCAAATTTCAGGGCAAGACCAGAAGTTATGAAGAATCAGAAAGTGAAAGAAATGAGGATTCTCATTTCCCAATACCACCCCAGCTAGCAAAGCATGAACTATTTAAGGAACGGCATGCAGTGTGTCTGTTAGCAGAGAACTCAAGTTTAGACTGGAAAAGTGTCAAATGCTACAGACTTTGTGAAATATAGGATTAAGTATCTAGAAAGATTCAGGTCTTTCACAGAGGAGAACAGCTTTAAAAGGCAATTCACATTTACCTGTAAAAGTTGCTGCTGAGTTTTAATCATTTCTTTACATTGTTGAATTTCTAACTCAAGTTTTTCGGTTTCTTGTTCATGGTCTTGTCGTGAGATTACATCTTCATCATTAAAACCTTCTAAGTGTACCTTTGAAACTAACACAAATCCAGTAAAAGTGGACATAGGTTTTACAGCCATCACTTAGTTTATGGTGTCTCTGGATATACATTTACAAATCAAGGCTCTCAGAACTTTTCTCTTTCTGGGATCTCATAGGTTTTCTAAAAAGCAGTTATTTCCTTTGGCCTTTTGAAATTTCATAAGCTATAACAAAATTAAATTTATATTATTTTAACACTATAAAAAAATTTTAAAAAGAAAACAACTATAAGGGGCTCATGACAACTATAAATTTGTATAATTTTAGGACTTAATAATATGCTTACAAATAGAGCTCTATTGCCAACATTTAATTTGTAATCCATATTGTCCTAATTAAAAACAGACAATGTGGCTTTATTCACAGAAGAGAAAAATAGCTAATTTGTAAACTGCATTCTTGTTAACCTTGCTTTAAAGATCAATGAAGTACTACAAATCTTGCTTTCAAGTACTAAATGAACAAATACGAAGTCCAACTATGCTTGCTGTTTTACTAATAGATACTGTTGACTCAAATGAATAAAATTTTATGTAATTTTGGTGCTATAATAATTTGCTGATTACTTTTTGCTAATTTTGACAACTTAAAATAAATTTTATTTAAATAGACTTCATTTACTAAGCAGAAATCTTAATTTTCCTAATTTAAAAGCATGTAAATTTTATTTAACAAATATAAATTAAAAGCATATTCAATGTATATCTATGTAGAATAGAGAATGTCTAATGTCAAGTGAAAAAACACACTGAAGAAAATACATGTAATAGTCAATTTTTAAATGTATTTTTAAATAAGCATTTTGCAGATTCAGAAAAAAGTCTAGAGATATGTACCAAACAGTTAAGTATTATATATAAGAAATAAAGACTTAGATATCACACATTACATAACTTCCTAATTGATATTTTATAATAAACATCTATTATTTTGAAAATAAGTTTTAAATGATTATTAGGAACCTAAGTAATATGCAAGTATCTGGGAATATGAAGCATGCATATCTATACTATATTATAAAGAATATTTCTTGATTTTCAAATTTAGTAAAAGAGACTCCACTCTCCTTATTCCATTGCACACAGCATTCAGAGCAGATGGACATGAGTCCTCTATTCAAGGACTCATTATACAGAGAGCAAACTGTGTTTTTCTCAATGAGTTTCAAACTTTGTATCGAAACACAGGCAAAATCTTGCTTTCAAACCACCAAACTGAGATACAGCACTTCAGATCTGAGCCCATGACGTGGCTTTCCAGGTAACTGAAAACTAAGAGCTTACCAAGTGTCACAACTCACTTTACACTGAGGCTGTAGTTACCTTGGTTGTCAAGCTTTTCTACGTGACTTTTCAAAATCCTCCACTGTGTTCTGATGCTGTTTGTGAGCTGCTCTCTCACAGTTTCACAGGAAAGGTCCCACATATTCTCTCTGCTCAGTTCCCCAGCATCTTCTTCAACATCAGAGATGGCCTACAAGGGGTGACAGACGAGAAGGAAATGGCTTTAGCATGGCATCTTAACGTGGTGTTAGATACCCAGGAAGCAACTATCAGACCGATTACCGGAGAGCCTTATGGAAATCATTTCTGTGCTGTATCTTAACGTACACAAGATCCAGTACTTAGCATCAATAGCTTGAGAAAAAACAATTAATATTGAATATAGAATCTCCCTAGCTTAGGTCTCACCAAACCTGAATTTGAACCCAAACACAGCCAGTGACTAGAGTGATGGGGCTGCTTGAGGAAGAAAGATTCATTAGCTGTCTAATGCTGTGTTGGATGCTTTCACATGCTACTTAATACTCAGCTCATTATAGTGTGGGTTAACTGAGGCTTAGAGACGCAGAATAAGTATCGTACAGCCAAGAGGTAGAACTGAGATTTGAAGTCAAATCAATTTGTTTCTAATCCTAGGCTGCTTAAATAAACAAACCCGTGAAATAACCTCCAAAGAAAAAGAAGTTGCTAATTCTGTTTTTCTCATATAATTTTTTATTCAACTGGAGATACTTTTCTTTTATACACCTGGAGATACTCTATTAAAACATCAAATCATTTAAAAAGTAGCAAACTGTATTGATAGATAATTATATAGAATCAAGCCAGCACGGTGGCTCATGCCTGTAAACCCAGTACTTTTGGAGGCAAGAGGATTGTTTGAGCCTAAGATTTCGAGACCAGCCTGGGCAACATGGTGAGACCTCATCTCTACAAAAGGCTTTGTAAAAATTAGCTAGGTGTGGTGGTGCACACCTGTGGTCTCAACTACTTGGAAGGCTGAGGTGGAAGGATCGCCTGAGCCCAGGCAGTCAAAGCTGCTGTGAATGGTGATCATGCCACTGTACCCCAACCTGGGCAACAATGTGAAACTCTTAACTCAAAAAAAAAAATATATATATATATATACACACACACATATATATATATATATATGTACATAGACATATATGCACATATCTGGGCTGTATATATCATATACACACTATACAAATGCAATTATACAGAATCAAAGCAGTTTTAAGAACACGGGGAAAGACACTCAAATGCATACATGTCATAATAACCTGCGTCTGCATGAAATAGTCCTAATTCGGTATTAACATCCAGAAAGGTGGAGAGAGAGATTTCACTCATTTGAACAATAAAAATCTTGCAGTGGAAAAACGAAAGAAAAGACAGAAGGCGCAAAGAAAGAAGAGCTGATCAGACGCTCCCACACAGAGGTGCAGCAGGAATGAAGGAGGGACTGGGGTCTGAAGCACTTTCTCCAGAGTCTGAGCCAGCCGGCGGGGAGAGGCCCGGGTGGCCCTTGTGACGCCTCGTCCTGCCCGCCGCTCCTCAGCAGCTGCCTGCCAATCGCCCTCCCGAAGAGCCACACCTCTCACACGCATTTTGCAGTCTGTCGGAATACTGTACATCTGCTATTCGAAAATGAGTGGTTGCTGCGCACTTTTCCGATGGAATAAAACTCTAACCACAAAATGAAAACAAAAAATTCCCTCAGCCGGAACTTGGGGTAAACATTTTGGCTACAAGTAAGCGAGCCAAACAATAAATGAAGCTGGAGCTACCCAGCCGTTCCAAAGTCATACCTTATTTCTCTTGCTATAATGCTCCAAAATCTTTCCTTTAAAAGGAATGAATTGTTTACATTTTCAGAGGAAAGAGAGCTAAACAACGGTTTCCTTAAAAACAGAAAATATACTTAAGAGGTTACTGATTCTCCAAACTTAAACATCTGAATGATGAAGAATTACACACGGTACCACCTGGCCTGAGCAGTGGGGTGAGGGTGATTTAATCATCTGAGAAAGTCGCCCTGATTTACTACACACCTGGTTGACTGAAAGCTGGTAACGAGAGGTCAGTAAAGGTTGGCCCCAAAACTGAAGATGCCACAAGAGAAATGGAAACTATGCTAAGCCTGAAAAAGTAGTAGTGAACGTTCAAAACTGACAGGAGTGACGGAGAAAAGGTTGGTTAAATACAAGAGGGCAAGTAGGGCCCAAACTGGACAGTATTACAGAGTATTCAGGTGACATTTTTTAAAGAAATGTTTAAAGAAGGGGGAACAAGGGTAGGAGGTGAGACAAGTGTATCAGGTGGACTAATGTGTGAAACCACACAATAAATACTCCTCAAATAAAAGGTTTAAACAACAGGTTCTGGTGACTTGCTGATAACCAGTATTCTCCCCCAGCACTGTTATTTTCAGATTCTAATCAGTAAGAATCTGAAACCTAGAATTTAAACCTCTGTGTGAAGCAATTAAGTCAAATGAACTTTTCACCATTATGTGACTTTTTTCAGACCTCCGCATACGTTATTCCCCTGCATCAAATGCTTTCCACGTATTTTCTACCTTGCAAACACCCATCTATTTTTAAAGAATCGGCTTCAATGTCAATTTTTCTATGATGCCTTCCTTGACTGCATGATAGTATTGTTTGCACACTGGGCCATCCTGTTACAGCACCTAACATATGCCATAGTCACTTCTTCACATGCTTGTCTCTCCCAATAAGAGCTTCTTGAGGAAAGAAGTCAAAATCTCCTTAGCTTTGTCTTGCTAGGGACTAGAGCATAATGAATACTCAACAAACGTACGAACTGAATGATTATTTGGCTCCCACAGTCAGTTGAGTTCCATCTCCAAAAAGTCAAGACCATATAATTACAACAATAGTACAACTGAGAGGATATCTGACACGGTGGTTGTGATTGTGGGCTCTGGAGCGAGGCAGACTTGGACTCGAATCCCAGTACTGCCACGTGTGACACTGGGCTACTAACTACTGTGCCTCAATTCCCTCATCTATCCAGTGTGGAAAGTAGTGCCATCAGATTATAATATTTGAAAGAGTATGACATTTGAAATAATTTCTGACATATTATGAGAAACATTATGAAATGAGACATGCTTACAAGGTGTCTGTCATAGTGCCTGGCATGGATTAAGTCCCCGGAAAATCATCTCCATCAATTCCCAGGGCATGCCTGAAAACATGCAGGGACACTTTTTTGGTTGTCACAGATACTGGGGGTCGCACAGCAGTCAGCCTTCTGTTCAAAATACCAAGTGTCCCCACTGAGAATACCTGACTGGCGTTTAACTGTTCTAATCGGCCATCTGAGACTGTATCAGAAAGGGAGGAGTCACTTACAGTTCCTGTACTATCATCTGCTCTTTCTCTGGGTTTCTTCTTTTGGGGAGAAAGAAGAGAAATCATTTCCTTTTTCATTTGCTGAAGAACCTTCTTAAGTTCAGCATTTTCCATTAGGATTTGTTTCTGACGATATTCATAATCATTCAAGAGAATTTTGTACATTTCATCTTCATTCCTGAGTGAGAAAGTGTCAGCATGAAAACGAGGTTCAAACCAAGTCCAGGCAAATTCCTCGGCTTGGACTGGCCCTTACCTGGCTTCCGTTTTACCAGTCCTCCAGGAGCCTCTCTTGCCATCAGCTCTCCCCACATAATTCAAAACTTCCATGGCTACAAATGCGAACACACAGAACACAGCCAATTCTTATCACACACGTTGAAGTGTTTCAAGTTCCTGTGCACACTACACACATGGGACGGTAAGTGAACCCGGCATGCAGGTTGGGATTTGGGCTCAAATAGCCACATTTCGGGTTCTATCTCTACCACCTGTAAGCACTGGGATCTTGGCTAGTTATTTAACTACTAAGCCTGTTTCTTCATTGCTACAGTGGAAATAACATGTACCTACTAAAGAACTGTTGTGAAGACTGAAAGAAATAATGTTAAAGCTCTTAACACAAGAGAGATGAACACAGCATCTGGCACACAGTAAGTACTTAACAAATGCTATGTTTTAAACATTTTATTTCTATTTTCTCTTCATTTTTTATTATTATGGATACATAATAGTTGTACATATTTAAAGGGTACACATGCTATTTTGACACAAGCATAAATGTGTAATGATCAAATCAGAGTAACCGGGGTTATCCATCACTTCTGGCATGTATTATTTCTTTGTATTAGGAACACTGCAACTCTACTCTTTTAGTTACTTTGAAATATACAATAAATTCTTGTTAACTACAGTCATCATATAATAAATGCTACTTTGCCATGATTAATTTCATTATCGGGTGTTAGCAAACTACGGCCTACAGGCAGATCCCCTGATTTTTTAAATAAAGCTTTATTGGAATTCAGTCACACCATGTGTTTATGTATTGTCTATGGCTACTGGTTCTCTACCACGGCAAAGATAAGTAGATGTAACAAGACTTGTAGACCCCACAGAGCCAAAAATATTTACCACATAGACCTGAACAGAAAAAGTCTGCTACACTGTTAACATCATCATCACCAGCAAGGGAGTCAAGTCCCTGACAGTAATGTTTCTTCGGCCCCAGGTGGAGACGGAAGCATTTGGCATAAGGAGGAAATAAGATGAGAGTAAATTATTGTAATTTTAGAGTTAACAAAATCATTATGAAACTGTCATTTCCAGTTGAGCCTGGACTGGGAAACAGCCAGACCTCTATAATGTAAGTGCGGTGTCTAGACGAGTGAGATTAATTCAGAATACATAGAGATTTCCAACCTTGTCTTAACTACATATGACTGCACCTTCATTTTGTCTTTTTCAATAATTTACAAAATACAATATTCAGATACCTGCAACAGCTCTGCTGGACAGGATGACAGTGATGTGGTCAGTACTGAACTGTTTTGCTGTTAGCAGACAAGAGCCCACTGCGTGACAGCTTGAAATGTATGCTCCTCAGCTACTGCTGAAGTCCAGGTTGTTTGGGATAGTGTAGGGGGATCATTGTATAATGGAGGTTCGAGGACTGCCTCTAACCCACTTGGAAACCACTCTTCAGTAAACAAAACACATAGACTTCTTCTCTGAATTATACCAGGCCAGCAAAATTGTACTGTATGGTTCTACTCTCATGCGTTAACTTTACTTTTTTCATCTTCACTATGTACTTGAAATTATGTGCATATTTGGATAAAACAGTCGTAGGTTAAAGTTCTCAAAAGAACAGTACTAGAAAAAAGTGCACCTGACACACACACTTATACATCACAGTCCATCCTTTGCTTTAAAAATGCACAGCCAAACTTCTTTAAAGAAACTCAAATGGACACAAATGAAGTGGTCTGAGGAGCAACGTTATGAGGGTTATTCTAAAATCATACTTCTTTTGATAATCAGAAACTCACCCTCATTTTTTATATTATTAGTTCTTTGCTAGGAAAAATTAGAATGTCCTCTGGCCCAGTTTTTCTCTATGGATTAATTCTATACTTGTCATGTTCAAAAATGCAATAATGAAGCAATGCAAAATGACTTATTTTTCACTTACCAGTTGTCTAAATTTCTAGTTTATATAAACATGTGTCATCTAAAATCACTTGTATAAAGCATGAAAATGGGTTACTATGTTCAATTCCTTTACATTTATTTCCTTGCATACTAACTTATTTACTCCCTTAGATAATCTCTGCCAGTGGCTTACCTATTTTTTTATCTTTCTTGTTCATAACAAGCTGATGCAGACGCTCCTTCAGTTTATTATATTCACGCTCTTTTCTCTTCATATCATGATTATACTGAGTAGCCCGACTGGCAATTATGTTTTGCAATTTTTGTACCTAAAAAAAAAGCATTTTCTATGAGGATTATAAACCTAGTTAAAATTCACAAACCCAAAAGAGAAAAGAAGTTCTAGCATTAATCTCTCCAGATAATAGTTTTAAAACTCTAGGATGATTCTTCCTTTTCCATAAACACCGGAAATCTTTTAAAAATATCATTATATGAATCACATAAAGTTTTGATTTTTTAATTCTGAAATTTCCACAAGTATGAACTTTCTAAATGATCTTCTATACCTTTTATGTTTCATGTAGCTTCCGATCATCTAAACAGCAGAAATGCTTTTGGAAGTATTATAATGGTTAAAGCTTCATGAGACAAATGGAATTCACTGGATCATTTTTCGTGACCTACTTATGCCACTGACTTGTGATCACTTCTTACTAACCTGTGACAAAGGCAATCAGCCAGTGGCACATGGCAGCAGGTAACAAGCTCATTTTCCTCTCATCAAAAACAGTTCTCAAATAAGAGTAAGTCCAGACTGCAGATAGAACACATGCAGTTCTAACACTTGCTGAGTACCTGCTATCACCAGGCACTACCGTTCCACATTTAGATGGACTGCTGCTTCTCAGGCAGCTCTTCCTGGAAGCACGTCCTAGCCTATCCACCCATCCCAATCCCTGCTAGAGATGAACACAATGAACTAATCTCTCCCCAAAATGAGCTCGATTCACACCACTGAAGTATAATCAACAAAGCAAGTCCAAATATTCTGTGAAATAATCTACAGTTTAGTTAAGATATTAATTACCCACATACTAAATATACTGCTGAGCAATCAAATATGGTAAAACAAATCTATCTAAATTATTGCAAGAGTCCTTAAGGAAATATGCTCCTCTAAAAGCCTTCAATTACAGTTAAAACAACACACAAAACACTAAAAATAAGTACTATATTTTTCCAGTTATTACGTGGTCAGGGTCATATTGTACAGCAATAAAAACAATCACTTCTTTTGACACAAATTAAACAATAATACTTTTAAATGATTAACTCTACATATCCAAGTAACCATTCAAGCAGAAATTAGAATTATGGTATCTTTAGCCTCAGAAATGAGGTTTTCAATATGAACTGCTTCTGTGCCCCTGAATCAAGGAATTACTTGACTGGGTGAACACTGACAATGTTTAAGATAGTGCACACAAGAAGGGGCATGTCGGATATCAAAGTGCAGAGAATAAAAGATCCACACTCAACACACCCTTTCCTGAGAAAACGCGACAGTGACCGTGAGTCCAGGAAGGGCAGTACAGGGCCCTGGCTATTCCCAGCCATGGGCCAGCACACCAAGCCAAAGGGATCCACTGGAGGTGGGGGCTGTGCTGGGGAGAGTTCCGGAGCTCCCTGGTGAATATGGTCCAGTGTTGTATACAGAGGTCCCCCACACCAACTGGAGGCAGGATGAATAAATGGGTCTTTTTAAAAGTAAAGTGGCTCTTAGGGTCACCTCCTATCACCAGAAGATAAAAATCCACTTAAACTTCATCTTCAATCACTGACAACTCACCTCGTCTTTCTCGTTTTTCAATAGCTGATGCAAACTCCTGTTCTTGCATTGTAATTGTCTGTCTCTTTCCTGAAGCCCGATCATTTCCCTTCTGGAGGTTTCCAGTTGTTCCTAAAATTTGTATATGCAATTGTGGTTAAAATTAACACAGGATTCAGAGCAACTGAATTCTTAAAGGATCAGCAACAAGAAAGTATACATACTAGTGTCTACTAGCTAAAATTGAAGTTAAAAAGCTGGGCGTGGTGGCTCACACCTGTAATGCCCACACTTTGGGAGGCTGAGTGGGAGGACTGCTTGAGCCCAGAAGTTCGAGACTAGTCTGGACAACACAGCAAGACCTTGTCACTTAAAAAAGATAAAACTGAAGATTAGTGGCATAGGAAATGTTTATTTAAAGCAATTACTCCAACCCGTGATACTATAAAATTATAGTGTCTCATTTAAATAATAAATTTGTATGGACATACATACAAAAGAGCTTCCAAGTGGTTCCCCCTGAAAGACTCCACTATTTCCATGACGCTGCCACCGAACATTTTAAAAAATTTTTAAATACTTGTTACACTTCTACAGCACACTTTTGAAGATCTCCTCAGGTAGAGTAACGTCATCATCCTTCGAGACTGCATTTGGCCTTGACAAAGAGCCAAAAGTGACTCACGGTCAAGTACGAAGAAGATGGGTGACCGAGCCACGTGGCAACACTAAGTCAGAGAGGGTGGGACTCTGCACACCACCGCTTCCCTCCTGCAGGTGGGAGACTCCGCGAAGCCCCTTCCCTGGAGAATGGCAGCAAGGCCAGAACAGCAGGGGATCAGGTGCTCACCTTCACACTCCCTGCTTTTCTGGGAAAATGTTCAAGTTCCGCATGAGGCCACTCATCTGACACTTTACAAGACTTCTCACACTTTACAAGCTAAAACAGCCAACCAGGTTATGCCTTAACTGACTATAAACAATAGCCTGCACAATTTCTATAACAGTGGATCTCAAGAAGACACAGAAAACTTATGAAAATAATGTGGGTAACTCTAAGGTCATCAGGAATTTGGGCACCCTCTTTTTGGAGTGTGTACAACTTCTACCATGCCGGACCAGCTGGTATGGCTTAACATTAAGGCACTGGGCCAGGTGATAAGTGGAATATATGTCACATCAGAGACCCACTCGGTGATTATCAACACTTCACCTAAACTCATAGTCGGCCCTGGAAGTCTGCACACGTCCCTTCTTCCTCTCTTATCTGAGTGACTCACACCACCACCATCCTTGGTAACTTAAGATGAGACCTGGAGGGTCACTTAAATTCATGACTCTTATTTCCCAAACTCAATTTTTCATAAAATCCTACCATTCTTCCTGCTAGGTGTTATTCATATCTCATTCTTTCTTACTGTCTTCACTGGCACTACCTTAGTTCAAGTCCAAAGCCTCTGCCAAGGCCTGATGATGGCATCCTTGTCACCAGGATTTCTACGCCCTCAACACCATCTCAAATACAAATGTGCACCCCCTATAATGTATCCGCCTGTTGCCAGCATGGTATCTTCAGGGCGTCTTTCTCCTGTGCACAACTCCTCAGCGTGTCCCTGTTTTTGCATACTGATTCTCACAGCACCTGCGGCCTAGGCTCCAGTTTCACCTGGTACCATCATTCACCATTTCATCATCCATCACAAACTCCAACACCCGCAGAGCTATTTGGGGTTCCCTGAAAGTGCAGTGCTCTCTCGTGCCTTCACACATGTACACAAATTATACACTCTGTCTAGAATGACTTCAGCAAACCTAGCAAATTTCTATTCTTTCTTTAAATCTCAGATCAAGTGTTACCTCTTGGTGAAACCTCCCTTACTTCCTACAGCAAGAGCAACTAACAAAACAAATAATTGTGGTTCAATGTGTCTCCTTCCATTGGACTGTGATTTTCCCATGAGCTGGGACGAGCTTCACTCATCTTTGAAACTCAGTGCCGAGCATATATGTAATAAATTTTGTTCAACAAATAGAACGAATCTTATGCTGGTTCTAAAAAACTTTTCAGGATAGACTGGCAACTTTCCCCCACTGAAAACACATTTCTGTCTGTAGCTGACCCAGAATAACAGATTCTGGTCCAGGTCAAATCCCAGATTAGAAGACATCCTGGAAAAACATTCTATGCTCTGCATAGTCCTAATAAATTCCTTGAAGGAAAGGTTCCATAAGCCTCAGATCACCAACATAATTATGTAACCATTCTCTAGCTACTTACAAGACACGTGTGGCCAAGTGTGCCCAGATATAAAAAATACTGTTGTTTGGGTTTACAACTCTGGATCAGTCTAATCCTTAGTAAGACCTTCCAAAGATCTCTCTGATATGGGTTAAGGTAGTATTCACAACTCATAACCTTTTTATAAGCCTGGAGAGTACCAACTACCCTCTCTAGCCCATCAGTTTCCCAGTCAGCCAAAACACACAGATGCACGATCTCTATCCCTTAGGCATACAGGATCATAAAAACTTTTTAAAAAAATTAAAGGGAAAACATACTGTTATCATTGTACATAAGCTAAGAAGACAACATAAGACAGCATTAGGCAGTGAATGGCTGGCAGGGACAGGTGCTGCTGAGAAGCTAAGACGCTTCTCTAAATCAATCCCCAAATATTTCCAGTGTTCACTAACAGGTCAGCTCTATGCCACTTCTGTAGAGTATACTCCTACGAGAAGATTTTCAAATATTTTATAGAGAGATGTTATTCTCCTTTCATAGAGCTCAAACATGCAAGACTCTGAGTGGGTTTTCTGTGTTTGCTACCTGGAGGGCACAGAATGAAAGGAAAAGTAGAGGGGGAAAGGAGGAACAGATGAGAAACTAGAAGGGAGCCGATTTTCTTTCAAGTGCAAAGGCTTTGATTTTTACAAACCAAGAAATCCAATGCAGAACAGCATATTTAGGAAAAACTTGGACTGATTATCCTACATCTATAATAATATACAACTATAAGGCCCTACACCACACCATGATTTTGAATACCTTGTTCCCTTTGCTTAACTTTTTTTTTTTTAAGAAAACAAAAGAAAGGAAGAAAAAGCAAGCAAGGAAACCAGAAATCAGCAACAAATATTCTACATTTTAAGGTAGTAGGTCCGTGGCCCTGTGAAAAAAAGATTTCCTTTTTTTCAGAGAAAAAAAGGTTTACTAAAGCATTTTTCTATGGTCTTTTCTACAGCCCTAGGGACTTGCAGAAGTTGGAAGCCATCTGGCTTGCTGTTGTACTTGAGCTCCAGTCCTTTGGCATATTCAAAAATAATTTTCGTGGAATTAACTGATGCAGACTCTCATCATTTATGATTTCTAAATGAAGCATATAAAAGTATTTTAAGCAAGATGGGATGGGGTAGGGAATCCTAGTTTTATTTTCCTCAGAACATAAATATTTCCTAATCTAACTTTCTGCAGATTTGGTAAGTTGCTAAACAATTCATAAAATCAATGCCATCGAAATGTTGTAGATATTACAATAGGAAGCAGCATGACTGATTTGTGCAAATTATGTTAAAAAGTTCACTTTTACTTACTACCAGTTAAAAAAAAACAAAACCCTAAAGCTTAAAAAAAAAAGTTCTAAAATATTCGGTAGAGCCAGTGAAAATTTAGTGTTTAATTTTATACGGTGTTGCAAAACAGATATGCAATTTCTACCTTTAGTTTTGTGTAGCAGTTCTGCAGATGGTCCATGTCACTTCCCAGTTTCAAATTCTGTGTTTCCACATTTTCCTGAGCTAGAAGGTTCTTCCGCTGAAGTACAAGTAGCTCATACATACAATTTAAAACAGCTACTATGTTTAATTCTCTCTTTGTCTCTTTACCTTTGGCTTCTTCATATAATGAAGGAAAACCGAAAGTTGTCAATTCCTAGTAGGAGAAAATATTTTCTTTAAAGTTGGTTACAGTTGGGGAAATGTTGGTCAAAGGATATACAATGTCAGACAGAAAGGAATAAGTTCAATAAATCTATTGTACAACATGTCACTGTAGCTAATAACAATATACTGTATCCTTAAAAACTGCTGAAAGTAGATTCTAAAACATTATAAGCATATGAGGTATGCATATGTTAATTATCTTGATTGAGGCATTCCTCAACATATACATATTTCAACACATCCTGTTGTACATAAGTGTTTTGTCAATTAAAAATAAAAAATAAGTAAGGTGGTTTCTTTAAAGTTGGTTTTACCAGACAACTTAGTAAAGAAATAACATAAAAATATTTTCTGAGAAAAACAGAAAACTATCCTGAGATAGTTAAGACAATAGTAAATATTCCAAACAAAAGACAAAGAATTCAGAAGAACTGGGCTCCTGTAACCTTTGCGTTACAATCACTTGTGACCTGGAACAAGGCCCTTAGGTTTCTGTGTCAATAAAATGAGGGCTGGACTCTCAGTGGAGGAGCTCCTGGGACGAAGGAGAGGCCAAGCTGCTCCAAACAAGAAGTCAGTTCTCTGCAAACCTAACTGAAATCTCAGGCCACTCCATAACAATATGCTTGGGTTTGACAAATACTTGTGTCTTCCACATAACTTTGATATGTTCTATTATGTAACATGATTTATGCTATTGCTTTTCACAAGTTACCTGATCAAGATATGAAATACTCTGTTCAATATTCTCTTCTGTGCAGAAGGCACTGAAAAAACTGTGCACATTTTTTGATAAAGGTATTGAAGAACATAGCACTTGCTGTGAGTATAAGCTTGATGGAGACATCTTTGTTTCTGAGGTATATTGAGAGATAATTTTGCTTTCTGAAAGAATCAAAAGGCATTTAGAGAAATAATTTAGAAAAATGCAGGTAAAGCCAACATAGTCGCCATGATCAAAGATTTTGAGTGATATATTTTTAAGCATTTTAAAATTAGGACAAAGGCTTTTTATTCAGGAAAACCATATGCTTTTTTTTTTTCAAAAAGACGGAAATGAAGTGGTCTCAGTAAGCATGTTAAGTGACAGTATACTACCTTAACTTACAGTACTTTAGTTTTATAAAAATAACAGACAAAACTCACTTGTCTATTGCCACGAAAAATTATATAATTAAAGGAATAATCAGAAATATTTTGAAGTAGCCATGGAATACATTTCAAAGCTAACAATTTCCCTCAAAAATAATGATAAAGTTATTATCCATCCAAAGCATTTAACCCCACTAATTATGGCACATTCTCAGCTCTTCCTGGTAATTTTACTGAAGACGAAAATTAGGTATTTTATAACCACTTATGTCTCTCTGTAGTCATATCCTCAATATCTGTGATGATCATTTTACATTTCTGTTGAAAAATTCACCATTACAATTACTTCTTTAGTTTACAATGATCTTGATTGACTTACCTGAAGACAGGCCTGGATCTGTAACAGTCATCCAATCTCCCATAGCAATCTCTAAGCCAGGATACCTGAGGAACCAGTTCAGTCTAGCTGCTGTCACTCTTCTATGTAGGCATCTCCTTCAAAAGCAAATTGTAGAGAAATGGCCTCTATTTCAAATGTGAAAGCCAATGCAAAACAACATGTAAGAATTAGTTGTACGTGCTTCAAAACAGAAGGATTCTGCAGTATTGATTCCCTGCATAGATGTAAAACATGTTAGAGCTTAATAATATATACCAAGTATTTACATTACTTCATATACAAGAAATGTAATACATGACTTGACTCAAGGAATCTAAGGTATGGCATTGTACTATGTGATATTTCTATATTATATCCTATAAAATAAAGATCAGTTGTTTTTTTTTTTAAGCTAGAGTCTCACTCTGTCGCCCAGGCTGGAGTATAGTGGCATGATCACAGTCACTACAGCCTCGACCTGCTGGGCTCAGGTGATCCTTCTGCCTCAGCCTTTCAAGTAGCTGAAACTACAGATGCACGCCACCACGCCTGGTTAATTTTTCGATTTATTGTAGAGATGAGGTCTTGCCAAGTTGCCTAGGCTGGTCTCAAACCCGTGGGCTCAGGCAATCCTCTCACCTTGGCCTCCCAAAGTGCTGGGATTATAGGCGTGAGCCACCACGCCCAGCCAGCATCAATTCTTATTTATGTGGGTGAGATCATAAAGCCTTCCTCTGGGCCAGTATTATCATTTTTGTTTGTCTTTATCAACTACATTAGCAAAATTTTTCCTTTAAATTGCCATTCCCAGTGTAGACATAGATTTAGGGTAATAAACACTTCCCCACACCGCTCTCCAGATTTTGTCAATTCATACTACACAAGTAGGTGAACAATATGTAACAAAAGTCTTAACAATGAAAGTATTTTGATCCAGAAACTCCACTTCTAAAATATTATCCCAATAAAAGGATGCTGTGTGTGAAGATGAATCTACAAGCTGTTCTTTACAGTATCAAAAAACCAGACAACTTACATGTTCCACAGTAGAAGAATGGGTAAATAAATGATACATTTATAAAAAAGAACACTGTGCAGCCGTTAAACACAATTGTGGGCCGGGCACAGTGGCTCATGCCTATAATCCCAGCACTTAGGGAGGTGAAGGTTCCCTGAGATCAGGGGTTCGAGACCAGCCTGAACAACATGGCTCTACAATAAACCAAAAAATTAGCCAGGCATGGTGGCACACGCCTGTAGTTCTACCTACAAGGCAGGCTGAGGCAGAAGGATCGCCTGAGCCCAGCAGGTCGAGGCTGTAGTGGCAATGAGCGTGCCACTGCACTTCAGCCTGAGCAACAGAGTGAGACTGTGACTCGAAAAACAAATCAAAAAACACAGCTGTGCAGAATGAGGGTGGCTAACACATGCCTAAAAGGCCAGAAATACAATGAATGATGCGGACGAAGCTAAGACACCCTTTCTACCCTTCACGTTTTCACTTTTCTATGAGGTAATGGAAGAGATAAATATTTCTCTGTCCTAAGAAAAAACAATTCAAATATAGTCATAAATGGCAACTGGCAAGTGCCTGCAAGGCCAGGAGCGGAAGGAGGTTGCAGACTGCAGGCAGACTAGGGAACAAGTGCCAACAGGGTAGGCGGCTACTCCTTGGCCACAGTAAACGGTGGTCAAAGAGGAAGCAGTGTCTGCATTGACAGAGCTTTGAATTTTGTAAGAGATGCAGAAATTCTGGATTTTTATGTGAAGCCTCCCAATTTTTAAATGTGGAAAGCTAATTTTAAAAACTTAACTCTCTGCCAGTTATCCTGTGGGAAGGGGGAGGGGCCCGAGAGGGACACGAGAGCCCTCTGGGAGCCAGAAACACTCCTACGACTTGATGGACGAGGTGGCTGCACTGGCACACACGCACGCCCACTTCACTGAGCTCTGCACCTCAGATCTGTGCGCCTGGCTTTAAGTGATACTCAAACAGCATCACTACGTCATAAGCCAAATAGACCAGATCTAGACTGTAGATCAAGAGTTCACAACCCTTGTTCTGAATATTTAAGACTGTGGGAAAATATTCACAATATGATGCTAAAGTGAGATGAAAATTTTCACTCATTCAATATATATGTATCTATTAGTTGAGCCTCTACTATGTACCAGGCACATTTTTCTAGACACAGGGGAGGCCCTGCTCTTAAGAAATTCCTGTTCTATTGGTAGTAGTGGGATACTGCTGGGGTGGGGGGGTGGTACACAATATCAATAAAGGTATCTGATCTCAAACCAAGCCAAGTGGGGACAAAGGGAGGCCCAAACTTTACCTGTGCAATGACCACTTGTATACTTAATGCTGAATTGTACCTCACCACTTTAAAATAAAGAAGTTAAAAAAAAAGACAAATAAAATAAAATTTTAAAAAAGAAGTTCTTATTCTGAGGGGGTTATAAATAGATACTAAGGAAGCTGTTGCAGTATCGCGCACACACGCACACAGAAGGTTATCCAGTCTGGCACTGATCTCTTCCCATCACTCTACTCATGGGCTTTGGTAAGGAAGGGTACCCTGAACTACCTGTGCTTCCTTCTGTCCTTAAATGGGTGCCTTCAGTGACAGAGTGAGCAGAATAAAGGTCGACTCTACACCAAGTAAGAAAGACAGTGAGTTGACTCTTGGCTTTCAGAGATAACTGCTGTAAGTGAAACAATCCAAGGGACGGTGAAACTATTCTAATGCAGCTCTGCTTTGGATAACTTCCTTAACCTCTCTAGCTTCCTCACTGGTAAATTACAAATAACAATAACACTCCCTAAGTTTTCCTTGAGGATTTAGAGAGAGAATTCACAAAGTATTTAGCATACTGCTTGGCATGTAAGACACATAATTAATTTTAGTCATCAACATAATTATCTGGACATGGGGCTCTTTGGTATACATGACAGGACTTTAAAACCTGTAACACAATGTACTGCTGCTCATAATAAAAGCTGAACACAGATCTTTAGAAGTTCGAGGGATGGCTATTCTTATAAAAATACATTAGGTGGTGAGCTAATTTTTGTAATCAATTTTTTGTTGGGGAAGGAACAACAAAAGCAGTAATAGGCACATTTTCAAGTCCTTTTCATTCTTTTAAGATCCCTGTAAATAAGATATGACAGGTCATGTCATTTCTCCTCAAAAGGAAAGATCAAACACCAAACTGTGTCCCTCATATACCCATTCTTTAACTCTGCGATTTATTTATTTATTTACTTTGAGTTGGAGTCTCATTGTCGCCCAGACTGGAGGGCAGTGGCCGCTCCCGGCCACCGCAGCCTCGACCTGCTGGGCTCTGGTGATCCTTCCGCCTCAGCCTTCCGAGGAGCTGGAACTACAGGCGTGCGCTACCACGCTCGGCTAATTTTTTTGATTTATTGTAGAGATGAGGTCTCGCCAAGTTGCCCGGGCGGGTCTTGAACCCTCGGGCTCAGGTAATCCACTCACCTCAGCTTCCCAAAGCGTGGGATTACAGGCTGAGCCACCGAGCCCGGCTAACTCTGTGATTTAAATCAGTTACTTTCTCTGTTTCCTATCCTGCTAAACAAACAAAATATGTTAAATCTGTAAAATAATCAAGTGTCTAGTTAAATATTCACAATGAAAACCAAAACTCCACTTTGAAGTTCTACAAAACAAAGAACTTACTAACAGTAAATGATTTCACAAGTTTCCATGAATCCCCCCCCCCTTTTTTTTGTAGTTGGAGTCTCACACTACTGCCCAGGCTGGAGTGCAGCGGCATGTTCACAGCCACTGCAGCCTCAACCTGCTGGGCTCAGGTGATCCTCCTGCCTCAGCCTTCCGAGTAGCCGGAACTACAGGCATGTGCCATAAGCCCGGCTAATTTTTTTCTTATTTATTGAAGAGACGAGGGCTCACCAAGTTGCCCAGGCTGGTCTCAAACCCCTGGTTTCAGATAATCCTCTCGCTTCTGCTTCTAAAAGTGCTAGGATTACTGGCATGAGCCAACCCGCCTGGCCCATGAATCCTCTTCTATTTAGTGATGCATCAAATTATACACTATGAGACTTGTGCTAAAAGAAGTTACCCAACCAGTTTTTCCAAGAAAGGAGACTTAAGATTATTTATCAGTACATACCCTAAAACCAAAAGACTAATTTAGGCCAAGTATTATACTCTAGTTCGATTAAGGCTAAAACTTTATTGTTGAAGTTTGTAAAGAGTTTTTTAATGAAGATGTTAAAATAAGTTAATTTCAAAAGCAAAAGGTAACAAAAGCATCTCTGTTTTGCATAAATCTAATACCATCACAAGCCCATTTCCACCCGAAAGCTTCACAGGCTCTAAGAGTACAAACCCGTGCTGAAACACAGGTTCATATTATAGAGTACTCAAGTCACAGCAAACCATTACTTAGTGGACATGATTATCCACAAGAAGTGTTATAAGAGCAAACTTAGTTATTTTAACTTAGTGAATCATGTATTAGCTCAAGTGATCTGTAACCTAAAATTCTCCATTTATACCATTGTTTAGGATAGCTGCCCAGATTCCAAGACAGGGCAAATTCACGCATGAATTTTATGAGCAAAACTTGAAGATTAATAAATTTAAATATCTTTTCAATGCCATTGCATTCACCTAAGACTGCTGGAAAACAATCTTGAAATATATCAAGCAAGGGAAAAAAATCTATAGAGTAATTCATAAATAAATAAGAATTCTTTTTCCGCTATTCTCAGTGCAAGCAACATAATTTTGTTCACTACTGGCAGGTAACATGTATACAACATCTAATAAATTTCCATGTTCAAAGTACTTCTCAGTGTAGATTTCAACCACTGTCTTTATGCTATAATAGAAAATCATACTAACTGCAGTAAAATTATAATAATTTCAGCTATACTATTATCTTACTACTTCTGTAGTAGTAAATATTTCTGAACTATTCCGTCTTCCCTACATGCTGCGATGGGTTCCCAAGTACCAATGAAATATACTTCGGGAGTAAAATACAAGCAAAGGTGCCTGGTCCTTTCAGGGTACAATGATTATGCAGGGCTTAAGAATTATCTAGTAGCATTTTCTAGGTTAGAATCTGGCTAGAAAACTGGGAAGTGGTGAGACACTTGAACTTAATATAACCGTACCTTTTCTGAAAGAAAACAAAAATCTTATTAAATTGCATAAATCCATCATTCTTCATGTCCAGGTCCTTTGTTTCATTTGTTTTTCTGCATTACAACAGGAAAGTAGGGCTCAGCAAGATCAACAAGGTTGCCCAGAATCACATTTCTAATCGGTTGTGAAGCCAGGATACAATCTGTTTTCAAAGCTCTGTGCTCTTTTCAGTCTATCACCATTCAACCTTTCAACATTGTCCATGTAAATCAATCAATCATATAGAGAGAGAGAGAGCATGGACACAATTGAAAGTAGAATACAATCCCAAAGATTTCCATCAAGTTTCTTTAAAAGACTGGGTTCCTGTAATCCTTTCACAAGATTCCATTCAGAGCACAAATTCTTACTGAAACTGACCCACCACTTAAACTGAGGCACACCTGTGAAATCTGTCTCTGCCTGGCTACAAATAGCTTTGTGTTCACGTTCATATTTTTCTGTTCTAGAGTAAATATTAATACAACATTGAAAGTTTATAGACCTTTGGCAAAAACGTTTGTGGTCTGGTTAATCACACCTGTTTTTCCCATCAGAAAAGTTCTTTGGCTAACTCATCTTTTTCCAGAAGCCCCCAATTGCAGCAGCTCCCAATACCCATCAGTAACTTGTAGAGCTGTGGGGTGGACAGTCCCTAAGATGGACCCCAGTCACCCCTGCCTCCAGGTGTACACACGTCGGGTCACTCTGTTCCTTGGGTATGGGCTAGAATCATGGATTAGCTTTCAACACTAAATTAGGTTATACAGATTAGTTAACTAATACCCAAATTTAGGTTACAAAAAAGCTATGGCTTCCATTTGGAGTAATTCTGTCCTCGCAACCTGTCAGATCTCTCTTCCTAGCGAGGGCAAGCCATTATAACAAGCTATCACAGGCCCATGTAGCAAGGAACTGGCAGATAGCACTTGAGGCCTGCCACAAGCCATATAAAAGTGAGTTTGGAATTAGATCTTACCTCAGTCCAACCTTGAGATGACTGCAGCCCTGGCCAACACCTTAACGCAGACTAGTAAGAGACCCTGAGCCAGAGGCATTCAGCTAAACTGTGCCCAGATTCCTGACTCTCAGCAGTTGTTAAGATAATAAATGCTAGTTGTGCTAAGCTATCAAATTTTAGAGTAATTTGTTACACAGTAATAGATTACCAATGCAAGCTTTGAAAAATACATAGAAATTTCAGAGTCCCTTCTAAAACTTATTGATTCCATAGTTAACCAAAACACAACTAAAAATGATACCACACACTACTAATGCAACTGATTGGGTTTCTGACGATGTCACCCAGTATTACAATTAAGCACTTCACATTATTACGGCTGGATGCCTCTCCCACTGGTTTATGAATTTCTAGAGGGCAGGGAATGCATTTATCTTTGTAGCCAGCAGTTCCTAAAATACAGCAGGTGTTCAGTAAATGTTTGCAAAATAAACTGAGTCCTGCACACAGCACACTCACATCAGCCTCTGTGTCTCCACCTGTGGTTTCTTCTTGCACCTATTCCAAAACGGATGCTTAGTCAAAGCAGAGCTCAGCCACCACCCCCTCCACACAGCCTTCTCCAGCTACTCCAGCCCACAAAACTGTTCTCGAAGCCTTCCATAGGCCCAGGGGTGAGTTTCATCCCTCCCAGCTACACGATTAAGTACCACACGTTTTACATTCCTGTAGCCCGCCCACTAAGCTTAACAGATGGAGTAATCAATGAACACTCAAGTAAATAACCAACAACAAATTAACACATTCATTCTGGCAAGCAAAAGTGGATAAAGAACAGGCCAATGGAAAGGTGTACAGGATGAGCCGATCCTGCAGAGAAAGCCACTGCACTCACTCTCATTTCTCTTGCCCCTTTTACCCCCCAAATCTCTACATCTGCAGACCGAAAGAGTGCTTGGCAGAAACGCAGCAGCCTGACTGCAAGACTTCCTTCACACAGTATATGACTTTAAGTGTTCTTTTGAAGTTCACATAAAATTCACACACAGAAGGTACCTGCCTAATCAGAATCCTCAAACACATTTCCATCAAGTGTCAGGAAATAATAGCTTTCCATTATACAGCAACACAGTAACTTTGTACTATCTGGGCTTCTACATATCGCACAGAATTTTTTACAAGTAGCTGACTAAAAGTCTTTGCCAAAGTCTCACAAAAAGTGACCAAATTATTGAGTTAAGAAAAAAAAAATGTTAAAACTAAAGATTAGCCCTATCTTACAAATTCAGACATAAAACTTAAGAATTCAGTTCCCAGTGTACTTTAAAAAGATGACATTGCTCTCAAAAACTAAATAGATTACGATTATTTAAAATAGTAATACCACCTTCTAACTATAATTTCATTCCAAGAAGACTAAAGCAAGTATCTCTGCTTCCTTATGAAATCACTTAAAATGTGCATGCTAGTACAGAAACATAAGACATTCAACTTCTTAGAAAATCAACTTTTTACAAATTTAAAATCTAAATTATTTCATCTGAGTGGTATCACGAAATAATATACTTTCCACAGAGACAAATTATTCCTCATAAATTATATATGAATGGCTGAAACTCAAAAACTGGTATAGCTAATTTGTCATCTTGTTGAGTTTGAGCATTTACAGTTGGGGAATACAATGCAAACAATGCCCGCCTCAGAGGCCTGGGCTGGCCTGCCAGGGTCACTTACTGCAAGACCATCTCTCCAAGCTGGTTTCCTCACCTGTAAAACCATGAGCAATGATAACTACTTCTCAGGGTTGTTAGGGTATTTAGTGAGATCAGAGGTGAACACTAAGTCCAGTAGAACCAGGACACAGGCCATGGGTTTAATAAACGCATGTGCCGGACACTGTTGATGCTTTACATACATTGCGAAGTCAATCCTCACAACAACCCTCTGTGTGATCTCTTTTTTTTTTCCTCCTTTTCATGGAGGCGGAGCTGGGATTCCAACCCCCCACCCTGGACTGGACCAAGAGCCCCTTCGCCAACCATGCGCCATTGATGCTTCAGTGGGCGAGAGCTCAGGAAGCAGGATTTCTTACGTCCACTCCTTCAGACAGGAAAAAACAGGACTCTACATCCTAACCCAAGCTGAGCAACGACTGCATACAACAGTGTGAACACAAAAATTACAGGAAAACATTTCATGTGCATCTTTTGGGTGGAGGGAGGTAAATTCAGTGAAGCTCCTTAGCCAAAATTTGCCACTAGAAAGCTACCCTCTTTTTAGCTTACCCTTCTTAGGCAGGGAGTTACATGCTGTGCTTTAAATTCCTTACACATTCTTGAAGCAATTATTACTGCAGCATGAGAAATAGTACAGTGTAACAGTTAAAAGCATGGAATCCGAAGTTAGACCGCCTGGTTTCAAAACCCGACTCCCTCATATACAAACTAGTGATCCTGAACATAAATCATCTCTGCAAAAGGAGAGTTAAAAACAGGCTTCACCTCAAAAAATTATTATATGGCTAAACAGTAAATTTATTAAATTTACTTAATAACTTCATTAAATAAACGTATGCATGTCAAGGACTTAAAACAAGGTCTTGGGTATATGATAAGTGCCCCCCAAATATTAGCTGTTACTAGCTATTTTACTCTTGAAAAGGTTTCCATGATATTCTGTTAAATAGGTTTTTTTTAAGTTGCAAGACAATATCTAACATGATTTTATTTGGTCTTTAAAAAACCAAAACACTGGAAGGAAAAACCAACCTAGAAATAGAGGGGGAAGGCAAGGGCAGGAACTCCATGCCTCCCTTTGTGCACTTGAGCCCAACAATATCCATGTCGTGGCCAATTTTCACCTTTCTTGTCTTCCAAAATGATAAATCTTCTATAAATGAATGTGTTTTTTTCACATAACGAGAATCAACCCCCTCCTTTTTTAATAAAGATGTGGGGTACAATTCAGGGTTAGGTATGCAAACGTTGATTATGCAGGTACCCTTGTTGATGAGGTGTGCCCCTCCCTCCCCAAGCAGTTTCCTTCAACTGCCAATCCCACCCCGCTCCCCTGACAGTTTCCCACGACTGCCAATCACTTTCTTATAGTATTATAACTGTTCAAGGCCCACTTATGAATGAGAACACAGGATACTCTGTTCTTTGTTTCTGTGACAGATCACTGAGTATGATCGGCTCTAAATCTATCCAAGCTGCGGCAAAGTCCATAGACACCCACACTTTTAAAAAGGCAACTACAGCAATGACAGGCAGAAGCAACAGGGTTAAAGGGTGCCTCTCCAAACCCAAGGCCAATGGCAGGACAGCACAGGTGACAGAAGATACGTGAAACTTAAAGGCAGGCAGCCCTGTTGGGTAAAAGCTGGTTAGAAAATTATACAAATGTCCTAGGGTTATTCAGACAGTCATGTAGACTGAAACAGAACTTCACCAGAGGCCTGAAGAGTGCAGGGAGAAAGGGCAATTCTAGCAGTCTGGAATCTGAAATGCGTAAATCTTCCCGCTAATCAATGAAACTTCTAGGCACACAAGAGAACAAGCATAACACACAAGGACACTGTTGATGGGAGCATTACTTGTAATGGTAAAAACGAGACAATCTCGATATCCATCAGAGACAAACAGGTACAAAGCAATACAAGGGGGCAGCCAGAACAAGGGCTCTTCTGGGAGTACGAAAGACTGCAAACAAGAGTCACGGATGAATGAGCACAGTAGGCTCACCATTTGTTGTTAAATCAGACGATCTATATGCATGGAGAAGAAAGGCCTGGAAGCGTTACAAACTGTTATAAATTACATTCCTGGGATGGGATGACTGGGCGTGGAAAGTGGAAGTCAGGGCTTTCACTTCTTCCACAGCACACATCTATACAGCTGGAGTGTTTCAGGACCGTGAATCATTCTGTAAAATGTTTAGGGGCAGAGGACTGAAGTGAGTCCAATGAGGTAGTATATGCGAAAGTACTCAGAGCTCGAGCCCAGACAGCAGCACCCCTGCTCTTAAGCGGAAATAGCTGAGACAAGTGAAAATGTCTTTGCACCAACGGGCCACACTCCTAGCACCTGCTCCATATACTCGAGAGCAAGGACAGTGTAGTCCTCACGCTGCTGCCCCTGAGTCGGAGCGTTTCTATGGGAATGTCTGTGGGAACCCAGCCCACCAGGAAGGCAGGGAACAGAAATACTAAAGCCCCACCTCTACCCACCTGTTGTGAGGAGTCAAATCATAGAGGACTGGCAGGCCTAGCAAAGCTGGACTCTCCCTGTGGCTTAATGAATAATCCAACCTCAGTAGAAGGAAAGAGGAAGGAAGACAGTCTTTATTTATAACTATTAAGATTATCTTCAAAAAAGCATGTTCTTAATCAACTTTCTGCGTATCAAGGAACTCAGAAGGTGCACTTCTGCTTCAAGAGAGCAGCTTAACGAAGTTATATAAGGCATGTACTTAGATTCTATGCACACCATCTGATATTTCATTATACACTGATTTTTTATTGCTAATGTACTCATCTGCTTTGGTCTTGGCTGTCCAATTAAACTGTTAGTGACAGAGCACTGTCACTTCAGGGAGGCTGCAAGGGGTATTGAAAAGCATCAGACTGTCAGGGGCTAGGGGTCTCAGCAACATTTCTACTATTTACTGAGCAACCTTGGACCAGTCATAATTTGGGATTCAGTTTCCACATTTGTAAAATTAGGTCAAACTAGATGATTTTTAAAGAATTTTCAGTTCTATTGTCTATGATTTTTACATTTCTCATGAGACCCAATTTGAAATTGAATACAGCTATTTATATCATAATTATTTCTTCTTCACGTTTTTATAACAGTGTGCACACATTGTCTTTATAATCCAATATTTAGCAAACGAGATTCTACCTAATTTTAACAACAAAATGTATTAAGCATATAGCATTTACTTGGAACGATTTTAAGATGTCTGCATGTATTAACTTATTCAAAGCTGGGTACGGTGGTTCCTGCCTGTAATCTCAGCACTTTGGGAGGCCAAGGTGGGAGGAGTGCTTGAGCCCACGTGTTCGAGACCAGCCTGGGAGTGAGACCTCATCTCAACAAAAAAATTAAAAATTAGCCAGGCATGGTGGCACAGGCTTGTAGCCTCAACTATTCAGTAAGATCACCTGAGCCCAGGAGGTAGAGGCTGTAGTGAGCTGTGATCATGCCACTGTACTCCAGTCTGGGAGACACAGGGAGACCGTGACTCCAAAAAGAAAAAGTATTCAATCTTATAATAATCCAAATAGTTACCATCCCCTATTATAGATGATAAAACAGAAGCCCAGAGTTTTCTTGACCTAGGACACAGAGCTAGAATATTAGAATATGACAAAGCCAAGATTCCAAAGCTGGTAGTCTAGCACCTTTAATCATCACACCTACTATCTTTGTTGGGGAGGTATACAACATGTGCGATGCGGTTTCAAATTAAACAAGTATTCTCTTCTTTATCACCTCATCTTAAAACTGAATTTAAATAGAACAGCAATTATTCCGGTTGAACAACAGGAAGGAAAACTGTATAAAAGAAGACATTAAATGCTATAGCAATTTTTAAATATTTTTTTTAACCTAGCAAATTGCCAAGTTTCTTCGGAACTGCCATCCCCTTCTCTTTGTGTTTCTGGAACACTTAAAGCACAGATCTCACTGCAATAAAGGCCCTCTCCCACTATGCAAACTGAGTTCCTGGTCAGCACACCTGCCATTGTGCTCTGTACCCACCTTGGTATGAGGTATCATCACAGGTCCACGGTTGAAGCCCCATCAAGTTCACTGAATGAATGTCCCACTAAATTCAGTGACATGTTAGCATAAGGTGTATTATGACAGGCACGTCTTAGCATTTTAGACACACTGCAACTTTTTGAAGGGCTTTTGATCTAATTTTGTTTGGTGCCAGCTCGGAGAAGAAGTAAGGTGATTCCAGGTATGAATCAAGAGCATGACAATTCAGAAACCAACTTCACATTCTTCCAGTGCACACACAGGAATAGCAACAATTCTATTCTTACAAGAAGATTATTAAGAAAAAAGAAAAATATGAAGCACTATTTTAAAGTCTATTTTCTTTTTAAGGTAAATAACATTGGGAATAACAAAGAAGTCCAACATGATACATGAATCTGCTAATAATTCTTTCAATAATTTTGCCCAAATTTTGCTATAGTTCTCAATATATGGTCCCAGGACCAGCCGCATCAATATTACCTGGGAACTTGCTAAAAATGCAAATTCTCAAGTTGCACTCCAGATCTACAGATTCAGAAACTCTGGCAATGGGACCCCAAAAATCAGTGTTTTAACAGAATCTTCAAGTGATTCTGATTCATAAAGTTTGAGAATCACTGCTGTATTCTATAGGAAATGGTTCAGCAGAAATTAGTATTCTACCTATGTACTATGGATTACAGAATACCAAAATGGAGTTCTTACCCAAGGACCCTATAAAATGGATTCCAAGAATAACATAAGAAGTGTTCCAAAGAACTAAATGAAGTCTGAAAATAACAGTCCTAGGGAACGTGTGGCTAAGAGCTTATTAAACCTTGGAGGGTAGAGGGAACCTTTGAAAAACAGACAGTATCAGGTGAACATTCACATTCCCATACGTTACAATGCAGCAAGTTCATACCCAGGTAAAATCCAAGAGAAACTCTTGATATATGTGCCAGGTGTTGCGTACATGAACAGCAGCATTCTTCACAACAGCACAGTAGCGTAAAAGCAAAACCCTGGGAACAGCCTGAATACTCACCAACAGGAGAATGCATAAATTGTGGCACAGTCACAAAATCGCATATCATGCAGCAATCAGGAAATGTCAGTGACATACAATACAGATGCATTTCGATATTAGAAAGTGCAAAAATTTTCAGAATATAGGCATGTAATATATTCAGTTTCTAACTGTGTGCATGGAAAACTCTTAGACGCAATAAAACATTTAAAAGATGCCAAGGGAATGATGGGTACAGGAGTCAATAAATAATTGCCTCTGGCGAGGGAAGGAAGGAAAAGGGAAGGAGGGACCCACATGATTATACAAAGGTTGACAAGGGCCTAGCATTATGCTAGGTGGTACCATATTATTATTAAAATTAAGTAAGTGGATCAATTAAAAGAATGTGCCATGAGTTGAGAAATATAAACTAATTGTTTGCACCCAAAGTCCCTTAAAATTTCTTTTTTAAATATATACCGTTCCTCAACTATTTCACACAATTCTAAATTCTACCAGTCAGTTGACTGTGGAGGCATCAAGAGCCATGGGTCCTTGGTCTTACTGCCAACTCAGGGCTAGAATGCTTTGGGTCACAAAACCCAAAACCAATGGCCCTTCTTTCCTTAAAAAGACACGACCGGGCTCAGTGGCTCAGCCTGTAATCCCGCGCCTTTGGGAGGCTGAAGTGAGTGGACT